TCCTAATCATGACCATTTTGTTGATACAGATATTGAATGACTCAACACACGAAATATGAAAAATGTAAAGAAATTCAAATAATACCATACCAATGTGTCTCACTTTAATACAAAATTCACGAATCTCACTAATTGAGCATTTTGTTGATACAGACTATATGGCTCATCTGGACATGCGTTATCAAAACACTAACCCTGGTCAGCCAGATCCCACTCTGACTATGTGAGAGAGCTGTTTTGACAGAATCTGGCTAAGTGAGAGGACACCATTCAACGTATCGACTATTCAAATCTTTATTTCTGATACTATGAGGCCACGGGCCTATGAGTACAAAAACACCTCATCGGTGCAGACTTGAAATAAAATGTTAACAATGAAAGCATGTATAATATATACAATCTTAATATGACAAAATTGATTTCCTTTTTTCGAATGCATAAAACAGATATTTAGCAGTATTCAAGGAAATGTCTTCATTTTTGGATGATAACAACGAATTGAATTTTAGTATATTGGGGAAAACATAGAATTGCGACAAAAGATATTTACGTCTTAGTTCAATGTAGGCTGGACAGATAAGTAAGAAGTGATATTCATTTTCAATTACGTTTAAGTTACACATTTTGCATGTTCTTTGTTCCCGGGGAATGTTATAGTAACGTCCTCTTTCAGTTTCTAAACTATGGGAACTTAACCTAAATCGTGATAAACAAGATCTATATTTGGATACAGTAATATGAGTTAAGTATGTTTCACAAGAAATCGTTAATTTAAAATTACAATACGTAAACATTTTGGGGCTCTCAGATAAATCACTATGGCAAACTTGCCGAAAATTATCTTTCAGTCGTTGAAAAAACATTTTAACAAAAACGTTTTTATCTCCGTAAGTGTGTGATACCCAAACATCACTGTGATACCCAAACATCACCGACTAATTGGTGGACCGTAGATTGACTGGCTTGGAGAACTTGTTATTATGAAATTCGGGTATAAATGATACTCACTCTGTGTCGATTTCTTCTATTTACACTTATTCTAGTTTATGCTTAAACTATTTCCCAGATTTATACGGTAGCGCCAGCATTAATCACGTGCCCTCGTGTCTTTGCGAGGATTAAAGATTTAAAAATATTGTGTTTGAGATGGCCCCGACTCAAAATGCTTCACAGTACAATTCATGCTGTATTGTACGGTAAAGCATTTCGAGTCGGGGGTCATCTCAAATTTTTATATATTTTTTTAAAATCTTTAATCGTCGCAAAGACACGAGGGCCTGTGGCATTGATCCCGGTAGACTGGTTGGGAATCTATTTCAAATCTTCTGAGGTTACGCACCATTTTAGGATCTTAAATGATAAAATGATAAAAGGCGCTTTCAATCTCCTTGTTTTGGTATTAAAATAAATCGTTCTAGTGTCAGCTTGCACAAACACCGCATTACCTGAACAAAATAGTGAATCTGAACATGAAGTTCCATGGGAGATAGATGGAAACACGCTCCCTTTTATCTCTGCGCACTTATGTTTTGTAAGTACTCTTTAACATTCCAGGGGCGGTGGCGTAGCTTAGTGGTTAAAGCGTTCGCTCGTCACGCCGAAGACCCGGGTTCGATTCTCCACATGGGTACAATGTGTGAAGCCAATTTCTGGTGTCCCCCGTCGTGATATTACTAAAAGCGGCGTAAAACCATACTCACTCACTCACTCTTTAACTTTCCACAGATGTCGTAAAATATACACGTTTAAATAGTTGCCTTTCCAAAACATTCTAAAGTTCACAATATGGAATTTCAGTTCGGAAAACACGTAACTTACATGGGTGGAATGTTAAGTAATGTTTGGAAACTGACCCATTTCCATGTATCCGTAACAGAGGGATGATGAAGAGAGGAGTATTTATCAGCAACCCAAAAAGCCAAACATCGGTAGTAACAAGTAACGTACATTCTATCTCATACAGTGTTCGAATTGATTCCAGTCTCGTCAATTATCGGATTCTCTGTCGCGCTGTCAGTATCGTCTAATTAGTGGTATTTGGCTTTTGACAGGCGTGGATCATGTCGCGCCCGTCTGGGAACAATTGTCTGTGTAATAAGCTTACCCTTGTATCGATAACAATACATCGCCATGTCGACCACTGATTGTTATAAACCGGACATGCGCAGACACGGACAGGAGTCAACCTGCGGTCTTAATATCACTGATTGACATTTTGCAATTGACATCAGTTGAAAACAAGAGAGGGCGTGAAAGGTAAGTCAAGTTGGTGCTCTCATTTTTAATTGAGGAACAGTTTTATTCATGGGCTGTGTGTCAAGCTTCATATGGTTGTACATAAGGTAAAGTTACTGTCTGCAGGTTGAAGAGAATTGATTTATGATGCGAATATGTTGGTTTAGTTCACAAGTAGTGGACACTGTCGCTAACAGTGGTGAAAATAGAACATCGATAAAGCAAGATACCCATTGGTTCCAAATTTAATTCCATATCGGATGCCCTAAAGATACCTTTGTGGGGGGTGGGGATTAGACAATCTGACAGCCCCTGAACCTCATTATTCTCCCATCCGCCCAGCCCTCTCTGTTAGGCTAAAGCTCTAAATGAAGCAAGACTAGATTTCCTAAGGTTCGGAATCTCCCTTGTAATTGGGGCCTTTTTCAATTTAATATGATTTATTTGTTTTTGTCAATTATATATTCAGAGACTAAATATAACTGTCAGTCGAAGGTGGGGATGTTAAGGGGTGGGGGGGGGTAGTATTATGTATGTATTACTTAAAATATATGTAGTCCAATATTGCAGTTGACAACAAGTTGATGACGTTTTCATCAGGATTTACGTTTTTCGAGATAAAGCCTTCGGCTGTAGCCCTCGCCTCGCAAACCCTGACAAGATGTCTAAAATATGCATGTTGTTCTTGGTTTACTGTTAGGGTGTGGGTGAGGGTCAGTTCATTGTATTAACTACAGTGAGACCTCGGATACCCGGACACCAGATATCCGGAAACCTCGCCTTCCGGTCAATTTTTAGAAAAAACATTCTCTTACGTTATAAAAGTGACTGTCTATAACGGATATTCGGTTTCCGTTTCCGGACGGTACATTTTACAAACAAACCCGCTAAATCAACACAAAGTTGACTCACCTATCCGCACGAAGCTTTGATCTACCGCTAACCGTGTGAAGGGAAGTGCGAGAGTCCCACGTGTTTTGACACGAGACGTGGTGTCATATATATTATTGTGTCTACTCACGGATCGAATCGAAGTGTAGTTGACAGAAAATGCATAATATAGCTTCTCTAAATATCATATTTATTGTAGCAACAAACTGGCTTGCTTATTTTACCCCATTCAACAATCACGAACTGATTACCGCCTCGTTTTCCATTGACTGCTAGTTTACAATAACATAGGTAAAAATGTGTGAATTTAAATGGCTTCCGTATTTTACCCCATTCCATGTGCGTACCACGTTCATGAGGGTCCGTATAACCTTAGTGTTGATTATATATATTTTACATAAAAACTGTAAATAAAATTCTTTGGGTTAAATAATAGTATTCTGTATTATATTTTACTGACGACTGCGTCAGAATTCATCCCGTTATATATTTGTGCATGTTTGAACTTGTTCGCCGGGTATATGCAGTATCTTGTTTTATTACAGAAACTAATAATGATTTTCAGCCAATCGATCCTATATAAATACATAAGAATGTTTAACCATCGCTTCATTTCCACTGTCAGTCATGGAACATGTTGTGTAGTTGCCATGACTACACATAAACAACAAAATCACTTGACCACGTTCAGATTATATAATCCCTCAGCTAGAAGATTACTGAAACATCCTCCATGATGTGTATCGGTTACATAACAAACAACGACCGTATGCTTTATCCCTCCTCGGGGACATACTAAGTTCTCGTGTGTTCTTGGGATATTCCCTGTTCATAGACAGTATGCGGACGATTGTTTTGACATATCATCGATCGGGGCCTTATGGTCAATCTATACAGCCCCGATCGTGGAATTAGCCAAGCGTCTTAAAGGGATTTAATGTTAATCGGATGTGTGATCATTAGCGTTACATGGTGCAGGTCAAGTGAGAAAAACATTGTGTCTGCGTATATCGGGCTTAAAGCACGTTTTTCTGTGAGCCATTCATATACTTTTCACCGTTTTCTTTTGTATTTTTCTTCCCATGTCTATCTCTGATAATCGAGAGTGAGACTGGTTATTCTCTGGCCTTGGCGTTAACATAATCTTTCTGATCTTGAAACCTCGAGGTATCGGGCTGAAGTAACATCGTTACACCAACCACTGGTTTGTCTGGGCCGGACACCATTACTCACAGACTGGAATGGCGTTACATTTTTGATTGGCATTTGGAGTGAGTGATTGAAGTTAGTTTTACGCCGTTTTGTTTAGCAATATTCCAGTAATATCACGGCGGGGAACATCAGAAATGGGCTTCACACATTGTACCCATGTGGGGAATCGAACCCGGGTGTTCGACGTGACGAGCGATCGCTTCAACCACTAGGCTACCCCACCGCCCCTGGCATTTGGAAGCTGGCATGACCAACAGGAACGATTTTTTATGAATAGACAACTTCTTTATTGCAATGGATGCGACGTTACGATGTAAATGCACCCTTATCAAGCAAGTGATGATTAAAGCTCCTTGGAACAGTTCATAATTGATGGCTAGGGGGTGATGTTGATTTTAAGGGGTGGCCCATTTTGTTGGGGGAACAACTTTCTACACGTGTACTTGGGTGGGGGTGGGGATCAGCAAGTTTGTACATACAGTCTTTTAAAGATTATGCTTAAAAATCATTGAAGGGGGATGATTGATTTGGATATGACATGCAGGGGTCACTTATTTTGTACATAAGTTGGGGGTGGTGCTTCTCCATAGAAATCAATGGCATCTTTTGCAACCTTTCTTTTCGATACCGACTTTTAAAATGTAATTTATGATGATCCTCAGGTACATCTAAGGAAGATTCGTGATTACAGTGAACGCTGCTTACAGGATGGCCTTTCAAGATGTCTTTTGGAAACAGGTTTTTAAAAGAGGTAAATATCAGTCTTCTGTAGAAAAGTATTTTTGATGTGTTTTCGGATAAGTGTACCGGTACTATACGTTTCTGCCAGTACTGGGAGGTAAGGGAATTGCCTTTGTCTGACTGGGCATTTATATACTGTCTCCAAAAAGAAACGCATAGGTGTATTTTCACGAATTTGATCTGCTAACTTTAAAGTGCGTTAACACATGTAATTTTTAATCAGTTGCAGTCAGAGTTCACAGTATAAAAGATCAAATGTCCGTTAACATGTATAGCTTATAAAAGATTCAATGAGTGAAGGAGTCCGTTCTCAGTTGGGTGTTGTCATCAATATCTGTTGTGGCCACCATGAGCCCCAAACTGCTCTGCACCCTCTCGGCATGGACGGAATAAATCTTTGAATTCGACCTTATGGAATTCTGGCCCATTCCTCTGCAATGCCTTCAGAACAAAAAATAAACGAATTCAGTTGACAGATAATTGTCGTTAGTTCCTCCTTAGGCCATGTTTAGCAGATTTTTTAGTTCTAACTCAGAAGACCCAATTTTCTGTTCATTTGACGAGTATATGGCGTCTATCCATGGCGTCCCTCGAGGTTATGTTGTTGACAATGATGATGAAATGACGGAAACACTCACCGAATCCTGCATTTGTTTCAGATCGGAGACTGAAGTATATGGTTCTGCTTGGTATTGCCACCATTGTTGTGTACGTGTTACACATGCCTAGCCGTCTACCAGCAGCCGTGGAACGTTCAAAATATGACGTCAAAGATGGCAGCGAGCAGAGACAGCAGACATTTACAGAAACTGCAACCCAAATTGGAAATAGAAAACCCCCAAACAATATATCGGAAAACCGAAATAAACATTTCATTATATGTATGGAATCTGGTCGCCTTGGAAACGCGATGTTTACTTATGCATCAATTTACGGAATTGCTTCCAAAAAGAATATGAGTGTTGTCATCGATGAAGGAAATCCGCTGGTGAAACATTTCAAACTGGACGCTAAAAGCATGAAGATACAGTCACTGAGTGGTTATTTGAAATTGGTCGAAAAAAGTTCTTGTGACTTCGACCAAGCATTGATGAATTTCGACCCAAACAGAAATGTCATGATAGAGCGTTACTTGCAGTCCTGGCGCTACTTCTCTCACGTTGAGGACCAAATCCGGAGTCAGTTTGATTTCACAGATTCTACAAAAGCATCGGCTGATGGTATTCTTAACAAGATTCGTAAGGAAAGGTCTTTGTCCGCCAACGCGAGCGCCACCTTAGTGGGCATTCATTACCGAAGAGGGGACTTTGTGGAGAAACATTTCAAAGATTTTGGATATGCGCTTGCTCCCGTGGAATATATTCACCGTGCAATGAAGTACTTCCGCTTGAAGTATAGTAACGTGACGTTCGTCCTCGCCACCACATCCGCTGAGTTTATAAAGGATGTTTTAAAGGAGAACGATGTCATACATGTGGCTGGGGAAAGTGCGATAGTAGATATGGCCATTATGGCTAGATGTGATCATTTGATTCAAACTGTTGGGACGTATGGCTGGTGGTCTGGATTTCTTAACAGGGGCAGTGTTGTGTATTACAAATACCCAGCCAGGGAAGGATCAAAGCTCCGAAAAATGTTTGGTGGAGACTATTCCAATTTTTTCTACCCGAAATGGATCGGAATGGACTGATTATTGGCACTATGTTTATCAACTGTTTGAACCAGTGGGATTCCAGATGCAATGGGTTCCCAGCATTCTATGCATTTCGTTGGAAGAGAATAAATGGGTCGGATTGTCAGCCTGGGTGATTCGGTTATTTCCGTGGCATACTCTCCCGACGTCGCGAGTCATTACTCGCGGTATCAACTGGAGCTGTGACGATATATCGTAGTACCGATAGTCGTGATACTTTATCTGACGAGATATATATCGATACTCTTTTTCTTATCGTGATATGTATCGTTGACCTTAAGATTATTAATTTTCACCATAAATTGGCGGTTATGTCAAAATTTACACTGTTACTTGCTATCAAAGTATACATTTTAAAAAGAAAATAACTAAAGATAGCATATCGTGATATCGAATCGAATCGTATCGTTCCAAGATATCGCAATACGTATCGTATCGTGATATTTCTGTATCGTCACACCTCTAGTATCAACCACGTGTAGCGTTTAACACATGCTGTCATGCCAGATGTTAAGGAGTTGTTGGTTCTCACAGGCGCACGATATAGAGTTCAATAATACAGAGGACCACAAATCTCGAGTCTTTAAAACAGCTCAGGTGCGAACTCATCATTTAGCTGTGGAGGATCATTGCCTTTACATCCACCTCCATGATGATTTAGAACCAAGACAACCGATTCAACCAGAGAGACAAAAGGGGGATTGGCTCAAGCTGATTGTGTCATGTTGACGTTTGGGGTCTCTAATGACCCGATTACTTACAGAGCCCTATGATAAACCTTTAATATTGCTGTTTACAATAACAGGCTAGTTTATGTGTTTGTAATTTTATGCATTAAAATATGGTTTGATACGTTTTCATTTCGAGTCAACTCAGTAAATTGCTTTCCATTTACTCGTGAAAATCCGGGTTGGAATTGGTCTTCAGCAACCCATGCTTGTCGTTAGAGACGACTGACGGGATCGGGTGGTCAGGCTTGCTGATTTGGTTGACGCATGTCATCGTATCCCAGTTACGTAGATCTATGCTCATGCTGTTGATCACTGGATTGTCTGGTCCAGACTCGATTAGTTACAGACCACCGTCATGAAGGTGGAATATTGCTGAGTAAATGTACTAGGTGCGCTGATCCGGATGGTCCAACCTGTAACTGACAGCGCATGCCGTTACGTAATGTTGCCATTACGCTCAGAGACAATTAACCAGTATAGCCTTCGCTGGTAACGTTCACCCTGGTGTATGGACAGTATATCTTTCCCCCTGAAAGTCAGAAACGATGATATATCAAAGTGTTATGCCCTAAAATATCCGTTCCATGATTCCTACGGCAGTTACGTCATGAATGGCCATGGTTGCTTATGTTGCAATAATGAATCACGAGATGGCCGTTCGAATTAGCGAGGCGGTGGAATCAGCTGGTTGCTCATTTCAGGTTATGTTTTGTCGTTTTGTTGACGCTTTGCAATCGGTAATTTAAGTCATGCAAAATATGTCTAAATATCGCACTTTGAAACTTGGAGTGTGTTTTCATTGTATACATACTCAAATCCCTTTCGTATTATGGCTGATAAGGCTATATGCATGCAGAATGCGGTAAACGAAATGTAAAGGTCTTTATGAAATTATCCAATATTGTCGCCCCGTACAGCAGTGGCGGATCCAGAGGCGGGGTTCGAACACATCCACCCCCCCTTGAAAATGACTAAAGACCACATTGAAGTTAATGTTATGCAATGGCGGAGCCAAGGTGGGATTCAGTGGGTTCTGGATCCGCCTATGAGTACATATTAGGATTTTTGACAACACAAATATTAAGCAAGTACAACATGTATATAACTATATAACTGAGAGAAGTGAGAAACAATGTTCAAGTAATTGAAAAACAAACAGTCACGGGGGAAGTACGTCAGTCATCACCTACAGATCATAATGCAATAATCAGCTCTCATACTTTAGAGTGGAAATCGCTGAAATCTTTTTTGGTGTCTGTAAGGGTGTATTGAATGGTTGTATTGATGAATGGTGATTATATATTGCAAATTTCTTCAATATCTGCATTTTAATTAAAAATATTTATTGAAGTGGCATTTAAAAAAAACTTCGAGTATACTGATGTACAAATGAAAGTACACACCTGGTGTTTTGAGACTATTAAAAAACGTAAATATTTTGCTAGCAATGTTCCAATTGGGTACGATATCTATGGTGTTATTGTGACACACAATCAAAACACTTTTCTAAATATTACGCTGCTTTTAGGAAAACATTTTACTAAAGCATCAGGTGCGTAATTTCTTTTGTACGTCGGTTAAGAAGAAAATGATACCTTTAGACACAGAAGAGCCTAGTTTAACTGCATATTCAAGGTTCTTTCCAACTCCCATTTTTTATCATATAAATCAAAACCAATATATTCATACTAAATTTCAATCTCCATTATGACACTATCAGGTGCTTCAAACATCAAATGGTTTATATCTTACTGACTTACAGTGTCTATGCAGTTTCCCTTCACAATGATCAAATTACTATAATAGTCATAGCAAAGCTCATAATTCATTTTTTAGGCCCAGCTTTTCATATTTCATTGCTGTAAATATATGTTTCTCACACAAAATAAATAATGTCAATCATTTTGTTTCTCACAAAAAATAAAATAAACTAATTTAATCTTTTTTTTCTCTTTAGATCAATAGATATCTGCATTGTTAAATGTCGTAAATTTCCCTGATATTTTTAATGATGGTGCATGTATACTTTATTATAACCTTACACAAGCATGACTTTTACCAGTCATTGTACACATGTATGAACTGTTAATATGTTATAAATGCATAACCATATCTACTTGGAATGATGGGCGGTGGGGTAGCCTAATGGTTAAAGCGTTGGCTCGTCACGCCGAACACCCGGGTTCGATTCCCCACATGGGCACAATATTGCTGGAATATTGCTAAAAGCGGCGTAAAACCATACTCACTCACTCACTCTACTTGGAATAATTATGGGGTTAAATTCGAATTTATGTCATCATAAACACATTTTCTTTGCCATATATTGATTCCTAACAAACATATATAATGCAGCTGTCTTTGAGTTCTGTTGCATGAAATCAAGATATCAAGCTAAAGCTATAGTCTGTGCAGTGAAAACGTACCGATGAATTGCACTTTAAACAAAACAGTAACTCGAATAAAGTGAAATTAAGATTGCGAATCCTCATATTTTTACCATGTCAATAGAACATCTAAATCTCAGATTTATATTCAACTTAGGATAAAAGTTGTTTAACAAACGATCATAGATTTAAATTGCTATTATTGGTTTGTATTACAAAGGGGTATGCACATTACATGAAACACCGAGAACAAGTTGGGTTTGTCTAAGTTAACGCTCATCACGTACCGCACGTGCATTTGATTCACTGCATCAACTACTGCGCTTACCCCCTTGTAATACAAACCAATAATAGCGATTTGAGAGAGAGAGAAAAGGGTGTGTGTATGTGTGTGTGTTTACAAATTTCAACGTTGCCATTCGGTGCAAGTTGTTGGAGACCACTCTCTATGCTTGTGATGAAAGCATCAGTGTTTATCTTAGCACTCACAGGTACATACTTTAATCCTTTGGCAAGGAGCGAGGTCTGGGCTTCTGTAAGATTCTTACTGCTCAAATTGACTACAGTCTTTATGCCAGTCTTAGCAATCGTTTCTTTAGCGTGCTTATGGACTGGTTGTTGAAGCTTGGATCAGGATCAGGATCACAATACCCTACGTGGGACCAGTCAGCCATCAAATAGCCCGACTAATCAAGAGCAAAGCGGGCTTTGATATAACTTTCTCTAGCGGTACAGCAATTAAGACACTCCTCCGGGCAAATGGTAGAGGATCTTGCAATGGAAGCCCCAACCCTAGAGGATGTGTATACCAAATACCATGCAGCTGTGGCGATCAATATATTGGCGAGACTCTCAGGCCCATTAACACCCGGGTTGCTGAACACAAGTCATCAGTATGCAAACAAAATGATAAGTCAGCTATATCGGAGCACAAGGCAAATAACCCAAGTCATGTAATCATGTGGAATGATATTAGGGTGATTTCGAGAAATAACAATGACTGGCGTCGGAGAAAACTACAGGAAGCTGTCGAGATAAGGAGACATAAACCAGCAATTAATCATGATCAAGGTGTATACCTGCCAAGTGCGTGGGACCTCTTGATTAACTTTTGATGAACTTTTTGATGAACTTTAGATACAAGAAATAACGAGTCTACTATTCTTTTTGGAAAGCCTGCTATCAAGTAACCTTTGTGTAATTAGCAGTTGTTGTGTATTGACAATTCAACTTTCAACTCTATTATTTAGCATGAATTTCATCATTATGTAACTAACTCACTTATACAGTACTCTCCCTAGTGTACTGTGATGTCACTTGCATTGTGACGTCATAACTCAGTAATGACGTCATAGTGACGACGTCATAGTCCTAACTGACAGTTCACCTGATGAAGGGACCTGGAATGGTCTCGAAACGTTGTGAGAGAAATTTAAAAAGAAGTTTAATCCATAAAAAATATCTTGGACATCAATGTACAACTTCTAAATGCCACTGAAAGACATTGTATTATTATTATTTTTATAATTCAGTCATGCCGCCAGGGCACATTAAATATATTCTATCCTTGCCATTTGAATATTTATCGTACCACGGCACGCAAATCTTTTATTTCAATCTGCGATGACTGGTATCTCTGCTGCGTTCGACTAACTCTTGGTGGTGGTTGGGGTGGAATTGGGTTTAACGTCGTGCTTGTGAATATTTCGCTCATATGACGACGTGCATGCGTGTGTATGTGTATGTGCGGCTGCTGGTACTAGCCCAGACATAAGTTGGTTTTATAGTGCTAGCCCACTGAGATACCATGCCGCAGTGAAGCATGAATACCCCACTCGGACACATTATACTGACTGCGAGCCGACCAGTCCTTGATGTACCCATTAATGCCGAGCGCCAGGCAGGGACCAACAAGTACCATATTTTAACGTCTTTTGGTATGACGCAGTCGGGGATCGAACCCGCGACCTTCCGCACTCCGGGCGGACGCTCTAACCACTACACCACGGAGGCGGTGACTAACTCTTGGATGGTAGATATACGATACATTGAGTGTACTTTGTAAATTTAGTGTCAACATTTAAAAGCAAAATGAAATTCATGTGGGGAACTACTTATCAAAACGTATATTCATAACCAACTCTTAAATTCTGCACGGTATTTTTCAGTAATCAAGGACGTCACGGATGTATGATAATTTGCGATAACGCATGTCAAAGGATGTCCCTTTCCTGCAGATGTAGGCTTTGGTTTATTACATTGTTGTCAGTGGTAGCTACAGTATGATAGCTATTTGTTAGGTTTGAATGCTGAAACGTCGTTGGAAATAACAAGGGCTGATATATCAATTGAGATTTCATTATTTCATCGATGCTATATAACCCGGGGTTACACTGCCTCGTGTTCAGACGGGTGTCCACCCGGGAAAGCCACATTTGAAAAATACTAATTGCCGCTAAAGCCACATTTCAAGTGCAAACCTCGGTGCCGCGAATCGCCACGAAAGCCACAATGAGTAAGGGAATCAATACCGGGGTTTTTTGTCAAATAATCGTCACCCATTGAGTACCTGCGTGAGGTAGCTAGTTTGCGTGGTCTGGAATTTTAAGGTGCGTTTGAGAGCCCGGCCAAGCCGGACCGAAAGCTTTTGATACTGTCTCTTTGTTGAGAATGTATAGAAAATAGGGCTTTACTTTGAGCGAGATGTTTGCTTCAAATACTACGCTTTGAGACTCTGTGAAGTGATATGTAGGTAGTTATAACACTAATCTATGGATTTAAACACATTTCAAGATACATGTGTGAGGTTCAAGGTGTTTTTGACAGCACGGGCCAAGTCGGGCTGAACAGAGACTAAACACTTTTGATTGAGACTATATTGTGAATGGAGAGAGAAAAGGGCTAACTTTAACGAACAAGTTATCTTTACATGTAGCATTTGATAACATTACAAAGTGATATTTAGGTAGATATAATACCAATCTATTGATATAAACACATTTAAAGAAACATGTGTGAGGTTAAAGTTGTTTTTGACAGCACGGGCCAAGTCGGGCTGAACAGAGACTAAACACTTTTGATTGCGGATTATGTTTTCCGAGGACTTTATTTTCCTAAATCGTTTGGAATGGAGAGAGGATGGGGCTTCACTTTTACTTTACTTTATGAAGTGGTGTTTGTGTAGATATTATACCATTTTGTGTTTCATATGTATTAGTAAATATAAGCATATGCATACGCGCTGGCTATCCGATTTGGGCTGGTATTGTTTACAATGAAAAAACATAAGAATTTTTGTGTTTGTGAATGCATACTTTGTTTGATCCTTTATAACATATTACAACATTTTGGGATTTTTAAATATTTCTTTTAATATACATAATCATGTAATATTTGCCCATTGACACTCGCCGATATCCACGTCTCTTTAACATAAACATCCTGTGCTGATTCAGCCTGAGACAATAAAGGTTCATTAGGGAACCCCAATATCTTAATGAAGGAAAGAAAAGCAGTCAAAACACTGTCACTTCAGGATGTCACACGCTAAGAGAAGTAAGCAACCTTCCCCCATAGACATATCAAGGAAAACACATAAAATGTCTTTTCTACGGGAATCTCGGTATGTAGTCATTGTTGTTGTGTGGGTTTGTTCACCATTAATTATACATTTTCAATCAAACTATGCATTTGTGAAGGCAGGAAGTGTATCGACCCAAATGTGCAGGTTTCGTTTTAATATTCTGCAATCCATTTTTAGTATTACCCGGTGGCCCGGCCCGGCCCGACTTTTCTTGGCCCGACTTTTAGGCCATCCCATAAATGACTCCTTTTTATTGTAGGCTCCCTTTACGAATTGAGGGAGAATTGATTTTGTACATGACGTGCGTGTGCGTGCGTGTGCGCGCGCGCACTTTTGCGTGCGTGTGTGTGTGTGCGTGCGTGTCACCGCCAGGGTTTTAATGAAAAGAGGGACATCAATTCAAAATACGTAAAGAATATACTTATGAAGATAATGTTTGCGAAAAACAAATTACTTACAAACTGTATTCAGTACTTCAATATGCTACCACTGCCAGATTAATTAGGGCCATTGACTCTTTAATTAAAGACGTATTGATCAAACTGCACTAGTCTAGGAAGACTGAGTGATCGGAATGTAATTAGCTCCAGTTGTGGCGAGAACTCATCGTCCATTCAGACCCGGGTTGTTATTAATTGAACATGCGCAGACACGAACACCAATCAACGAATCGGCTTAGCCACTGATTGACAGTTTGCAATTGAAGGGACAGGTAGCGCATGAGTACGGTAAGGCAAATTTTATATCCCGGGTATTAAGCTTTATTGATTGTTATCAGTTGAAGCACAGGAAAGTTCCTGTCTGTTTTCTTGTGTTGTATTGCTCGGAGTATAATAGAAAATGTGTATTGATTTACGTTCAGTTGACTTTTTTGCACTTCCGGTATATTAGGTGCGAATATAATAAGGAAATGGTGGTGAGGGCGTTAGAGCCGACGTCATTTAACTCCCGGTTATTTTTCATATAACTCAATTCAGCGCATATTTTAACTTAGGCCTACAGCTGTTTTGTTGCGTTGCTTCGTGAATTTATGTCGTCAAGCACTGTCAATTCCCCGTTAAACCCTTTTTAGAGATTGGGTTTTATTAAAAAAATATATTAAAAATATTAAACAAAACGTCCCTCTATGTGACAGGTTGGATGTGAATAGCGACTCTTTCAAACACACCGTGAATGCTAGCACACGCTAAGGTGTGGCGGTCGATGGTTGCCTTTGGAAACACATACACAACATACTGGCTATCATGCAACATTTATATAATCAATCACCTGGCAGGTCAGTCACGCATGTCATCTGCCTCCGATCAGGCACATGAAAAAACAACGATACACATTAGGGAAGTATTTCTTTGTGCTAGGATCGCACTGCAGACCTTTTGATTTGTATCCAGGCTTTTGTATCAGTATCAACAGCGTGGAGTCTTGCATGACAGACAACGGCGGATTTGGACCGGTCCATACATCGGTATTAGCGGCAAGGATTTGCAACTGATTTTCACTCCAACTGCATCAGTTCCTGGATTGCACGTGTGGTTATGTTTCCTGCTGTTGGAGGAGTCGCGGGTGTACTGATGTCTCTGTGAAGTGTGTTTATTGGTTTGGTAACGTGGCGCTCAGGAATATTCGAATGATTGCGCAGCCATTGTAGCAACGACCCATGTCGTTGGGCACGACGACGCACTATCAACCGCGTTACCGAGCCCGAAAGCGCCGTCGCTGTCCTACAACAACGAGCGTCAGAAACAGGTTTGTTTTGTTGTGTTGTTTAACCCTGCATTCAGCAACATTCCAGCTATATGACGACGGTCTGTAAATACGCCAGTCTGCACAATCCAGTGGTTCACATAATGAGTTGGTTGGTTTGTTGTTTAACGCCGCACTCAGCAGTATGGCGACTGTCAGTGAATACTCGAGCCTGGACCAGACAATCCAGTGGTTCACATAATGAGTTGGTTGGTTTGTTGTTTAACGCCGGACTCAGCAGTATGGCGACTGTCAGTGAATACTCGAGCCTGGACCAGACAATCCAGACTTTCACATAATGAGTTGGTTGGTTTGTTGTTTAACGCCGCACTCAGCAGTATGGCGACTGTCAGTGAATACTCGAGCCTGGACCAGACAATCCAGTGGTTCACATAATGAGTTGGTTGGTTTGTTGTTTAACGCCGCACTCAGCAGTATGGCGACTGTCAGTGAATACTCGAGCCTGGACCAGACAATCCAGTGGTTCACATAATGAGTTGGTTGGTTTGTTGTTTAACGCCGCACTCAGCAGTATGGCGACTGTCAGTGAATACTCGAGCCTGGACCAGACAATCCAGTGGTTCACATAATGAGTTGGTTGGTTTGTTGTTTAACGCCGCACTCAGCAGTATGGCGACTGTCAGTGAATACTCGAGCCTGGACCAGACAATCCAGTGGTTCACATAATGAGTTGGTTGGTTTGTTGTTTAACGCCGCACTCAGCAGTATGGCGACTGTCAGTGAATACTCGAGCCTGGACCAGACAATCCAGTGGTTCACATAATGAGTTGGTTGGTTTGTTGTTTAACGCCGCACTCAGCAGTATGGCGACTGTCAGTGAATACTCGAGCCTGGACCAGACAATCCAGTGACCGACATCATGTGCATCGATGTAAGCAATTGGGATACGATGACATGTGTCGACCAAGTCAGCGAGCCTGACCACGTGATCCCGTAAGTCGCCTCTTACGACAATCATGGGCTGAAGCACAGGGGTTCGAATCACTGTTTGGACAACAATTTTTAAAAATATAAAATCTAGATTTTTGCAACCGTATATTGTTTTGATATGTTATGAGTTACTTACATTTTAAATTTTGAAGAAATTGATTTTTTAGAAAATTCTCCCGCTATACTCATTACATAAAATACACAAGGGGTGACACTCGTGATGCTAAAAGCCGGATCGAAAACCGGACAGCCCGACTATTTTAACGTGCGTTCAATCAAACCTTATGTTTTTCACAAAACAATGTGTCGAGCTTGTAGATTATTCTTTTGGCCTGCTGCTCATCGTATTCAGTTTGTGTAACTGCATTTCATATTTGACCACTGACCCTCGCATTAGCACTACCCTCCGTTTTTGAACAAACGTCTGGCCGCCCTTCGGTAAACATCGACACTGTCCTAAAATCTCGGAATGACTCGGAACACAAAACGGCTCTCATTGGTCAATTTCCACGTGTGCGATTATTGCAGAATATTGTTCTTTCATTGTGAGTAAAATTATTTTAGGTGTTAAATGCAATAAATTGTGCACATATATAGTGCATACAGCATGAAAATCTAACAGCATTATAAAAATATCAAGCCTGCAAAGCGGAAAATATTTAACTTCTGTAAATTCATGGATTGTTAGATTATAAATGTCATATAATAGGTCAACAACATTTTCAGTTATATCCAATGACTTCCAATTATCAATTCATTGTGATTGTTGATTTAATATTCAATATTTCATTCCGTTTGACAGTATAATACAACACAAACAAACATTTCACCAAAACAGACAATTCAAAATCGTCCAGGTATATTAACTTTGAAATATGATGATAATAAACAAATACCTAATGCTACCACATACTTTTAAATCACATCTTAACAATCTCCCATGACAATTGCCTTTAAGAATAATGAAATGCTGACACTTTTATGTTTGCAATGTATGATCATTTAAATTTTTCCTGGTATGGTACAATTTCGAAAATTTGAAAAAACTCTTATAGAAATACTTGTGACTCAAGTTAAGTCAAAGACCTCAAGCATTATCAACAATGTAACCTTTAATTACCAATTCTAAATCTCATCTACCAAGTCGGTCATATATGATTTACATTTCAACTTCTTAATCATTCCTGTATTACCTTACCCCATTAGTGACACATGCACATGTCTGACTGTTGGTGAATCTGGAAACAAAAAACATATTCTGAGCTTTATCCAATCTTAAAAATACTTCTGTTGGTACTAATATAAGAAGCTACTGCCCTCCAACCTTCTAACCCCTTACCAGGGAATGATAGTGGATATGAAGATATCTTTTCATCTATCAAATAGTTTTCCTTACCCAATTATATTTGTTCCTGGATAAACCCTATGGATGGTCTCAAAATTAATAAAACAATCAAATACATTTTTTGTAATCTATCAATGCATTTCATTGTCTATTATGACAGATTACACAATTACCATATCAAAACTAAATCTTTACTTACATATTTATTTCCCATTTCTCTAAAACTCTTAATTTGTCATGAATATTGATGTCTTTTTTATATGAACGTTTTGTGTTTACAATAACAAATATTTTCAATCTACACATATTTGGGTTACCTCTGTCATTATGTGTGGCTGATGTTTGTTATGAAATCCTTATGCAATGCCAATTATGTCATTGTGAAATTGTATACACTTCAAATATTATACATTCATACTTCGTACCCCAAATTCTGACTTAAGAATTTGTTGGCACTATGTTATGAAAACATGATGTTCCAAAATGAGTATGTGCTATGTAAGAAAATAAAACACGTTCGTAGCTTTTCCCATCTAACAGTACATTTTGCGTATGTAGACCGAAGAATGTCAAATTGACTGAGATTATACGCGAAAGATATAAACGTGTCATAACTCATTGAAGGCACAAATGTATACATGTCTATAAAACGCACACTATTTATAGGGAGGAAATAAGCTTGATAATAAAAAAAGTAGTCCTCACTCGTTTCCCTTTCCTCGATAATTCCTCTCTGATCTGGCGCAGTAAGGATGTCTTGCCGGTGTCATCCCATTAGTCATACGACCCATTAGTCATACGCCTTAAATAAACACATGTCATGGGTGATTGCTCTTACATTATGAACCCTTAGTACCTCTGTAGGTAAATGGAATAACCCATATGAAACGAAACAAAAAGAATTTAGCAAGATATTATCGTATGTCGTCGATGGCGGTACATGGCGCGGAAAACGCTTGGGTGAGGCGGCAGATGGGGCACAAGCTGGGGATCCTGTTTTGCTAGTTCGTCCTGGTACAGGCGTGGTCTCCTCTCTAGCTCACTTCCTGATGTTGCTGATGAACTTCACAGCCCCTTGATCCTGAGGTCGTCGGTTGTGTGCTGTGCTGTTGCTGTTGCTGTGCTGTTGCCAGTGGTTATCACTCTGCCTCTGCAGCCTTTCACGACGCACAGCCAGTGAATACGATGTTCTTTTGTCGAATTTTTGTTGTGTGGATGACCTTGAAACAAAACTTGTCGTGTGCCTCGCCTTGATGTCACATATTCCACTTCGATTAAACCTGCCATAATGATCAATAAGTGACGATTTTTCCACCTTAGGTCAATATATAGGTAGTTAGTCAGTTAGTGACGATTCTTCCATCTTAGGTCAATATATAGGTAGTTAGTCAGTAAGTGACGATTCTTCCATCTTAGGTCAATATATAGGTAGTTAGTCTTAAACAATCTACAACATGAGTAGACACTAAGTTTTAAACAAATGGAGTTGCTGTTGCCAGTGGTTGTCACTCTGCCTCTGCAGCCTTTCACGACGCACAGCCAGTGAATACGATGTTCTTTTGTCGAATTTTTGTTGTGTGGATGACCTTGAAACAAAACTTGTCGTGTGCCTCGCCTTGATGTCACATATTCCACTTCGATTAAACCTGCCATAATGATCAATAAGTGACGATTCTTCCACCTTAGGTCAATATATAGGTAGTTAGTCAGTTAGTGACGATTCTTCCATCTTAGGTCAATATATAGGTAGTTAGTCAGTAAGTGACGATTCTTCCATCTTAGGTCAATATATAGGTAGTTAGTCTTAAACAATCTACAACATGAGTAGACGCTAAGTTTTAAACAAATGGAGTATTTCCTTAAATTGGCATAATATAGTTTAATGGAATGATATTCTTACCGCGCTTTTCTAAGAACGTATTCAAAACAATCGGTATGCAGAGTAGACGTATTAACTTATGTTTGACAAGCAGTTGGATCTCACACAAGAAAGGCGGGCGAGTCTATTATATGGTAGGGAGCATGGCCTTTGTTGTTTTAATTAATCCGGTCCGTTCCCCATGACTAGTGGCCGTATGAGAAATGTGTGTATGACTAGTGGGCTACAACCGTAGTGCTAGCTTGGCCCCAAATCAACAGATTATGGCCATCGATGGCCCCTCTCACTGCCCTGTCTGCCATGTTTGTTTGTTGTTTTCCCCACACACGTGGAAATTGACCAATGAGAGCCGTTTTGTGTTCCGAGTCATTCCGAGATTTTAGGACAGTGTCGATGTTTACCGAAGGGCGGCCAGACGTTTGTTCAAAACGGAGGGTAGTGCTAATGCGAGGGTCAGTGGTCAAATATGAAATGCAGTTACACAAACTGAATACGATGAGCAGCAGGACCAAAGAATAATCTACAAGCTCAACACATTGTTTTGTGAAAAACATAAGGTTTGATTGAACGCACTTTAAAATAGTCGGGCTGTCCGGTTTTCGATCAGGCTTTAGCATTGCGAGTGTCACCCCTTGTGTATTTTATGTACTGAGTATAGCGGGAGAATTTTCTAAAAAAATCCATTTCTTCACCGACTTCGTTCAAATTTGAAATGTACCTTACTCATAACATATAAAAACAATATACGGTTACAAAAATCTAGATTTTTATTTTTTTAAAATTATTGTCCAAACAGTGATTCGAACCCCTGTGGGTTGAAGACCAATTCTAACCCGGATCTTCGCGGGTCTGACATCATGAGCATCCTCTGTACGTATTTGGAATTCGATGAAATGCATCAGCTAGGTGATCGAACCTGATCAGCCGAACCATCTTACGACAAGCAATGGTTGCTGAAGATCAATTCCAACCCGGCTGTTCACGGGTACCATATACAGGCAGTTTACCGAGCTATTATTACCGTAGATATTCGGGTTTCAGTCCTGTGATTAGACATGAAACAATCCTACAGTTGTGCTACAGTTACGAAGGATGAAAATAGTTAGGCCCACAATTATTTCCCGATAAATACAATCAATGTACGCTGAGGGAAACCAATAAGGGATCACCACTTCATGGCAGTGTTCCTTTATTATCAGATTTTCTCCAACAGCACTATTCAAAACTGGTGATGAAAACTGGTAAATATGAAAGGAACACTTGAATTTTCCTCTGTTCCTTTATTTGTTTCTTTCAGTATATTATAACAAAATGATCATACCTAGTAAGACAGAAACAGTTTACGCTTTCACGCGAATACCCCGCTCACATACAGTGTTCGGACTGCTTTGTACCGTCAATTAAGATGACCAACCAGGAAAGCAGCAAATACTTATTTTAACGCCTCTTGGTATCTCGCAGCCGGGGTCTGAACCCACGACCATCCACTCTGCTGACAGACGCTCAATCCACTGGACCACTGAGGCGGATGTGATACTTTAGCCTTACCATTGACTTCTACTTGGGGCCTGTTTGTTGAAATATTATACAGTTTAATTGTATTCCTGTTTTTGTGTTGATACAAACATATGCGATTATATAAACATTTATAATATTTTTATTTCAGTTCCTCTCAAGCGATTTAAATGACACTAACTTTTAAATGCTATATTCCAAACCCCATTCCCTAATCATGATTCCACAATATTTCCGTGGCCGGAAAAAATCTTCTGAGAAATTTAACCTTTTCTAATTGCGTGAACTTGTTTATCATCAGGTGCATCTGAGAAGATTTTGGACTGGTGTTGATGTGCTGGGCGAGGAGGCTGTATGAAATGTTCTGTCAAGATGTCATTTGGAAGTGTTTTTCTAGAAGAGGTAAACATATTTTCTTTGCTTGTTTCGACATTGTGAATATTGTATTATTCGCGGCCTAAAGAAATATTCGGTCTACCGTTTCACTGTCGAATGCTGTTGAGAAATGTAGCGATACTTGAAATATTTTCTGTAACTGAGCACAATGCACGAGGAAAACACGCCCCGAGACCCAGAGAGTAAATCACTTTGCGTGATTTGATTGCACGCTTTGCGCAGAAAATTCGTGACAGATGTAAATTTCAGAACATATTATTTGTTCGCTTGAAATTTTTATCCATAATGAGGAGATATAGTGGGATGTGTTTTGTGTTTTGGAACGAATTCACGACCATCTATTGAAAGAAATACATATATTACGTCTTGTAATTAATGTATATGATCGACCTGTGTGGAGGATTGTTTATTTCTAATGCAATTATAATATTTCAGGAACTTATATACTATTATAATATTGTTTAATAAATTGCAAAAAAGTACAGTACGACTCCCTACCCTGGATACAGACGAGAAAGGGGATGAGTTATTGTGTGTGTGTGGAAGGGGGACGGGTCAATCATATAAGCTGCATCGAAGCACAACTGAATCGCATGGATTTGGTTTGGTTTGTTTTACGCCGCACTCAGCAATATTCCAGCTATATGGCGGCGGTCTGTAAATAGGAGTCGGGACCAGACAATCCAGTGATCAACGTCAAGATCCTTGCTCTACGCAACTGGGATACGATGACATGTGTTACCCAAGTCAGCGAGCCTGACCACCCGATCCCGTTAGTCGCCTCTTACGACAAACATGGGTTGCTGAAGACCAATTCTAACCCGGATGTTCACGGGTGAAGGCATGGAACTGAAAAAGTAACAAATATGTATGACAGGGCATTTGTAGAGCTTATATGACGCTGTATATTACAGTGTCTGCCAGCGTAAAAACACCAGACATCGAACTGAGTAAGATCTCATTTAACTGACAGACACCTTTTTGACTTGGCGTCCGGTGCACTGCTGGTACTGATCAATATGAAATTTCGTTAAACCGCATTCTTATATTATTTTCAGGTCGAAAACTGGAATACATGGCCTTATTTGGTATTGCGGCAACCGTGCTGTTCGTACTAAGGCAGAAATCTGACTTATTCCGGTATTCTTCAAAGGAGTTCGGAATTTTCAATCCAAACCTGACTAAACATTTCATTATATGTATGGAATCTGGTCGCCTTGGAAACGCGATGTTTACTTATGCATCAATTTACGGAATTGCTTCCAAAAAGAATATGAGTGTTGTCATCGATGAAGGAAATCCGCTGGTGAAACATTTCAAACTGGACGCTAAAAGCATGAAGATACAGTCACTAAGTGGTTATTTGAAATTGGTCGAAAAAAGTTCTTGTGACTTCGACCAAGCATTGATGAATTTCGACCCAAACAGAAATGTCATGATAGAGCGTTACTTGCAGTCCTGGCGCTACTTCTCTCACGTTGAGGACCAAATCCGGAGTCAGTTTGATTTCACAGATTCTACAAAAGCATCGGCTGATGGTATTCTTAACAAGATTCGTAAGGAAAGGTCTTTGTCCGCCAACGCGAGCGCCACCTTAGTGGGCATTCATTACCGAAGAGGGGACTTTGTGGAGAAACATTTCAAAGATTTTGGATATGCGCTTGCTCCTGTGGAATATATTCACCGTGCAATGAAGTACTTACCGCTTGAAGTATAGTAACGTGACGTTCGTCCTCGCCTCCACATCCGCTGAGTTTATAAAGGATGTTTTAAAGGAGAACGATGTCATACATGTGGCTGGGGGAAGTGCGATAGTAGATATGGCCATTATGGCTAGATGTGATCATTTGATTCAAACTGTTGGGACGTATGGCTGGTGGTCTGGATTTCTTAACAGGGGCAGTGTTGTGTATTACAAATACCCAGCCAGGGAAGGATCGGAGCTCCGAAAACTGTTTGGAGACTATTCCAATTTTTTCTACCCGAAATGGATCGGAATGGACTGATTATTGGAACTGGTTTCATCAGGTCTATGAACTAACCTGAAGGGACTCTTGGAGTACTAGATACTTTCCAAAGGGTGTGGGGGCGTCGGGGTAGCCTAATAGTTAAAGCGTCCGCTCGTCACGCTGAAGACCCGGGTTCGAGTCCCGACATGGGTACAACGTTTGAAGCCCATTTCTGGTGTCCCCCGCCGTAATATTGCTGGAATATTACTAAAAGCGGCGTAAAACCATACTCACTCACTCACTCCAAAGGGTGTGACAAAATGGATCGGATGGCCAACCACATCCATACCCTCACAGCAACTGCATTCGCCCTACACACACGCAAGCCCCTCTCAGAACCACAAAACCATCACTCATCAACCGGAGCACCCACATTCTCTCATCCGACTCCTGTTGGGGTCAGCGCGATAGATCGCATTACCTTCTGAAAAGAAACGAATTGTGGATTGGGTGTTATTTTGCCTGTTCAGTGTTATGATACCGAGACGTCGATGACCCACGAATCTCGTGATATACCTTGAATACTGCTATTGACGGTGTAATATAGAACATCATTGCAAAAGAACAAGTCTTAACCTTATAACACAAGTGAACGCAATAACACGTATTCGTTCAAGTGCACAATTTCAGTCTCTTTATAGGATTGGTATATTCCAAAAATGTGCACATTGCCTCGTTTTGAAAAATGAAATGACGTCACTACCTCCACCATACCTCTAGATCTACGCCAGCACTGAACTTCTCTCGTCCATCAGCGCGACTGGAAGAAACAGCTATGCTTAGCGTCGTTTTCGATCAGGCCCAAAGGCATTAATCGTTGTAAAAGATATGTTACACTGGATAATCGCTGATTAGTCGGTGCTGGTATATTAGACACTAGATTTAAAACAAATATCTCCCATAACCATCACGATCATGGATGGGATGTTTGTTTTGAGCAGTAGTGTACAACAACCGGAATGAGGATGGGATAAAACACTGTATAAACAATCATGTTTAATTGAGATAATATGCAAAAAAGTAAGTGAGATATTCAATTTTATAGATGTATCTTTCCTTCGGGTTCAATAAGCAAATGACAACCAAGAACATCCTGGCTCCAATTCAAAGCAGTGCAAAGACACCCAATGAAATCCAGTGTTTTCCAAACCAGTACTAATCAGGAAGTATCCATTGATTGGCACGGATTGAGCGAATCCTCTGTACAATATTTTTATAATAAACAATGTGTTGATGTACTTTCCAAGTTTGGGCAATCCCGTGTTTCTAAATAATATATTTACGGTTTGTTGCACAGAAACGACAAAGAATTCTTGACAAATGGCAATGATTTATTAAAGAAATGAAATAGTGACATGCACATCGAAGATGACTGGATTCTAACGACATCTGCATAGTATAAACACAAACATGTTTCCTAACGAGCACCAACAATCGTAGTCATATACATGTGCTTCGCAAACTAAAATACTCGAAATTATTATTGAAATTAAAATAGAATTATGTTTAACATTTTTACATTAACGATATCGATCTTTTTGTCCGGAATAACCTGTTACAAATATCTTAAAATAATTAAATTTTAAAAAATGAGTTTAAAGTGTGTATGAGTCGTACCGTGATATATATCCATTGGATTCACCATGTGTGGAAAGATTTGTCTTGGTCAAGAAATTGCACAGCTGTATCATGCGAGGTTCAAATGATTTACATATTTCTGAAACGGGCATTTCTTTGAATAAGTTCATTCAAAATACGTTTTATTTTTTAATGTTCTACTGTTCTTAAGTCAAAATACAGCCAAATAGACGTAAGGGTTAAAGTTGAATATGTATGATTTAAAATGTGGATCGCAGAAAGTCAGTTACGCGAATAAAGTTCCCTGAGGCGTGAAGCCTTCTTTGGATGAATGGTTTTACAGTTGCAGGAAAGCGTGCTCAAGAACATGTTTCACTCGTAATTTACATCAGAAAAGTATTGCCAATAGAAAGAATACACCTTTTCTTCTAAAAGTTGGTATCAAGATTGACATATACATACACTGGTAGACGTTTGGCTGGTATTTCTTCAAAAAGATGTTGTGTCCCCGAAAAGAAAATATATTTTTCCTTACGCTTTGTTAACTGTTAGTTGAAACTGTACAACTATTCCTGTTTCTACAATAGACCAAAGTTCCTGGCAATTATACGGTCGTCGCGGAAACCTTATGTAGACACAGAATAATTCCAACATTGTCTTCGTTATGTCAAGCGATTAATACTGCAGCCTTTACCCGTGATCGCCGCGAATAGCTGTAAACTTGCTGATGCGGCATTAAGCAGTATTCACTCACTCACCTGTCACTTGACAATAAACTGCCTTTTTCACGTCTACTTCACGAGTAAAAGGTGCATCCTAAATTAGGTCGAATTATTTGAGTAAATATTCACGGTTAGTCTTGGTTATGCTCATCTTGATAAAACGCAGGATGAAACATTTGTTTTTTCAATTTCTGACACTACATGGCTGAAATGTATGCTGAATTGCACAATCTTGATGAACACATAACGATTCAGCTGGGTAACAAGGCAGCTTATGGTAACACCAATTGTTCACAACACTATATAGAGATAAATTAGAAAATATCGCATAAAACACAAAACAACACAATATGGACAAACACACAAAAACAACAAAGATTTCATCACAGTTAATGTGTCTTTGATAACTTCATCATCAGTCAAGTTTAATTTGCATACTAATGAGTGCCCTTAGCACTTTCCGTGAACAAACATTTAACACTTTTCCATATATGCATCGTATGCCGGGCGATAGAACGTATACACCAAAGCCTGTTATTCACTAATAACGAAACAGTAAAGAAATAGCTATTCGATGGTGATCTATACTGAGGGAAACAAATAAGGTAACACCACTTCATGGCAGTGTTCCTATATTCTCAGATTTCCTCCCACAGCACTATTCAAAGCTGGTGATGAAAACTGGAAAATATTGACGGAACACTTGAATTTTTATGTGTTCCTTTATGTGTTCCTTTATGTGTTCCTTTATTTGTTTCTTTCAGTATATTTGGCTGTCGCAGTAGTTTTTGGACCTCAATTTCGTAGTGTTTACAGCCAGTAACGTTTTGATAACTTTTGTTATTTGGTTAAACTTAATTTCTAAGTGTATGCTTTCTCTTGCCCGGATGTTTGCATTTGCAGTGCACACAACAATATAAATTTTCACGCTCAGTTCTGGAGAGTCCGGATGACTGGAATTCACGAAATTCAACAGAAGATGTTTTCACAGAACTTTCAATATGTAACAGTGGCATCCCTCGATTTGAGATTGTATCCTGTGATTTCTTGAAGTGTTTGTATTCGTATCGTAGATACTTGAGTACACCCTTGTGATACACACTGTGCTATTAAAAGCGTAGGAAGAAACCGACCAAACAGGTGATTGCGGATAACGGTGTCAAGTGAGATAGACCAGCAGCGCCTGAAAGAATTATCATTATATTTCAATACACCAAAGACACAATGGTAGTTTATTTGATGACTCATCACATTTTGATTCTTGGTTGTATTCTACTGATTGGGCGAGAAGAGATTGATGCTATTTTGATAAGTTTGTTTGTTTGTTGTTTAACGCCGCACTCAGCAATATTCCAGCTATATGGCGGCGGTCTGTAAATAATCGGGTCTTGACCAGACAATCCAATGATCAACAGCACGAGCATCAATCTACGCAATTGGGATACGATGACATGTGTCAACCAGGACAGCGAGCCTGACCACTCGATCCCGTTAGTCGCCTCTTATGACAAGCATGGGTTGCTGAAGACCAATTCCAACCCGGATCTTCATAGGTAGATGCCATTTTGAACAGTATTTCAGTTATGCCATCTGAGCCTGCTGTAGGAGCTAAACCTGACTTGATGCAGGTCGGTAACCATGTCTTTGAAACTCATCAAACACGGTGCTAACAAATCTAAACCATTACCAGGCTGAATCGCGGAACTGAACCCACAATTATGGGTTTGCCACACCCATAGGAGACGCCATCTTGAACAGTGAATTACGTCACCTGGGCCTCCTTTCACAAAGCAATAAGGTGATCGTAAGTCACTAAGGTAACCTTAGTGCAATGTCAAAGAATGGGAGATAAGGTTAACCTTAGTAAAGGTTGCTTCGTAAAAGGAGCCCCTTGGCCTCCCCAACCTGTGCTCCCTTTATTGAAGCAAATTGCAGGTCAAACCATAATGTAAATGCAAAGTTGATTTTGAAGCTTCTATATTTACCAGCAGGATAATCTCTGAATGCAATGGTCACTTTGCGAGAGATGACCTCCTTTTGGCCAGCGGAGAGATGGCGATACTGTTCCTCAGTGAGAGCATTTGCCTGGTTTGAACTGAACCTGCTCATCTGGTTTGCTGTGAACGACTGAACAAATACAGATAGGAATGAGTTGCTTAGGTAAAAAGATTAAAATTTTGTTTTAAAAATACCATCTGTTTCCATAAGATCCTACATTGTCGAGAAACATTTTTTGTTTTGTTGTTTAACGTCACACTCAGCAATATTCCTGCTATATGACGGTAGTCTGTAAATGTTAGAGCCGGGGCTCGACAATCTAGTGACCGATGTTATGAACAGCGGGATGGAGCGAAGTCAGCGAACCTGCTTACTAGCTCCATTAAGTCACCTCGTAATGGGTGTTTGTCGTTTAACGCTGCATTCAGCAATATTCCAGCTATATGATGGCGATCTGTAAACAGCCGAGTCTGGACCAGACAATCTGGTGACTGACACCATGCGCATCGATATACGTAATTGGGTTATGAAGACATGCATCAAACAAAGTCTGCGTGCCTGACCTTTCGATCCCGTTAGCCGCTTCTTGTGACAAACATGTTGTTGAAGTGCAAGTATATATATATTTTTTAGCAGATAAGATTATATGATTTAGTAATGGCTTATTACCCAAAATTCCAAACCAAACCAAGGTCTTTGTTATTTCAAATTTCTGTATATTTTGGATTATCCAGTTTTCAAGTTCCTTTGAAGAAAATAATTCCAAAAGTTAATAATTTTTAAAAAAGTTTGAAAGACATTTATACGGTTGAAAAATTCATATCCAGAAGGAACAATAAATCTGATAAATTTTCAGACAAATGGTTTCCTTTATTCTCAATATTTAATTTCTGACGTAATCTTTAATCAAAGGGGGAAAAATTTACTGGAGTATATTCTCTCAATGCTATCAGTTGATCTAACATTTTTGTTGAACCCAATGAACTTTGATCATGTATTTATGCATTTATTGCTTTACTTTATATGCTTGTACTCAATTATGGGAACAAATAAAAAGATTTAAAAACAAAACAAAACAAAAAACATGTTGTTGAAGACCAATTCTAACCTAGGTCTCGTCTCTACAGACCATCATAAATTTCTAATATGAGATCCCCCACGGGGCTGTCTAGAAGTGAAAACCCAGTGCAGTCAACATCCACAAGATTTTGACATTGTTAAGCCGGACCAACTTAACATCTTTCGTAGACACCCGGTGTCGGCACTGTAGGATTCAGTTATATGTGATGGTAGGTCTCGGAACCACCATCAATCTATGTTCCCTTCAGAACAGGTATTTCATTCATAGTTATAATATGCTGTATCTAAAATATGAATGTCAAGATATTAAACTTCAGTTCAAAAGTTCTCTACCTGCATAACATCGTGTGAGAGGTGTGGAATGACTTCTGTGTTTATAACTGCAATCTGTTTGGCTGTCAGCATTCTTATCTGGTTGGCCTTTAATCCACCTGTTGTCAAAGAATAAATGCCATAAACACCTGTAGCATTATAACGACATGACATTACAAACACCTGTAGCATTATTACGTCATGACATTACAGACACATGTAGCATTATTACGTCATGACATTAAATGGAAAGTTACAGTAGGTAGTTTACCGTGGGAGTCTATAAATTCCTCGTCTCAGAAATGTATGCTTCAGCCATACTGCCTTCAACACATTTAATAGTAACCTCCGACCTATAGTATATACCTATGATATTGAAAAGTGCTGTATTACATCACTATGATATCTACATGAATACTCACATTCGTCAGCACTCGCCCCTTTCCGTAACAACATTCGGCTAGTCCCGGAAAAACACGAGTTGGTCACGAATGGAATACTCATTAAGGTGAGTGAGTTTAGTTTTACGCCGCACTCTGCAATATTCCAGCTATATGGCGGCGGTCTGTAAAAATCGAGTCTGGACCAGACAATCCAGTGATCAACAGCATGAGTATCGATCTGCACAATTGGGACCGATGACATGTGTCAACCAAGTCAGCGAGCCTGACCACTCGATCCCGTTAGTCGCCTCTTACGACAAGCATGGGTTACTGAAGGTACATTGTAACCCGGAGCTTCAAGGGTCCATTAAGGTGAAAATGTATGGATGTCAAAATGTGTGAAGACAATTTCTAGTGTCCCCTGCTGTGAAAATACGGGGACACGTCATCTGAAACCCATATATTTCCACCTGTATGTGTATCACTTCTAAATGCCATTCAAGGACTATACACGAATACTTTTCCAACCTACCGATCACTATTCCCATATCGGAGATAACGGGTTCATTCCAACTGCCCACATTGCCACCATATATCTCTATCGTCTTCGCAGCAAAGGCTTGAAGCTGATTTATGTCACATGACCTCACTCCACCAATCACATTTAGAGCACCCCTGAAAGAAATATTCACACGTGTGAGTATAGTTAATAACATATCAGAATCTGCTTTAAACCTTTATGTCATAGCTAGTTGTTTTGCTAATACTGTGATTTCCTACCTGATTGCCGAGGATGAGAAGAGGAGGATTTCTGAAGGCTCAAGGGCACAGATGAAGTGTCCGAGGGATGACATTTCAGCAGCTGAAACTCTGCTGATGTCATTAGCCTTGGAGTTGTTCAGCCATCTGTAGAAGCCAGCCTTCAGCTGAAATAACATCATTAATAAATTATTTTTTAGTCTTTATTCAACAATTGGAGAACAATCCAGCATGCTCTTTCTAGGCAGATTTAAGGTCTTAAGATTCTTGATCAAAAGCTGTTTGATCGGGGTCACAACATACCACGCAGCAGTAAAGCTTACAAAAGGATATGTGGTTGACGTGTGGTGAACTTTACGCAGCAGTGATAAAAGTATGCCCGATGCAATTCCGTTTTCCCCTTGCCTTTGCAAGTGTTTGTGACGGGTGCCGACCGTGTGACAGGATACGCTCAACGTTGCATGAACACCTGGCATCATCACTGTTTGATATTCGCACACACACACACATACACCCACACTCACACGCACGCACACGCGCACACACATACATACATACATACATACATACATACATACACATACATATACATACATACATACATACATACATACATACATACATACATACATACATACATACATACATACATACATACATACATACATACATACATACATACATACATACATACATACATACATAGGGGCGGTGGGGTAGCCTAGTGGTTAAAGCGTACGCAATTCCCCACATGGGTACAATGTGTGAAGCCAATTTCTGGTGTTCCCCGCCGTGATATTGCTGGAATATTGTTAAGAGCGGCGTAAAACCATACTCACTCACTCACTCACATACACACACACGTGTTTGCTGCTTTCATTTAGCATCACCGATAACAGCTGCACATAATGTCACTACTTAATTGCCTCTACTGTTAACATGGCAACAGCTTGGCGAACTCTAACATCTCTCTCGCTAAATCATGACTAGTTTTTGATATGTTGTTGCTAAAGAGAATTTCTCCTTGGGGCAGAATGACATATACCTGTTGCTGTGAGAAAAGGTGATGTTTTCCTGCGGAGGCTATAGCGTCAAGAGTGAACAGTTTGATCTGACTCAGCTCGGCCGGTGTGAGGGCGGCCAATATGCTTCCTGCCTGTCTGATGATCTCCACGCTCCACGTGTTCGGAGGTCCGTAAACCTAGATTGTGAGATGAGAATTAAACAAATGTCAAGAGGGGTGACGACCATATATGGTGCAATCGTGGCTACAAGAGTTGTATGATCCCCAGGGAGTTGAGACTGATAATACGATGTGCCATTTGAGATTGACATCCACTGATCGACGGAAAAACAAAGGGCCTATGAGCAGAGCTGGATATTGGAAATAAATAAATAAATAAATGAATGAATGAATGAATGAATACTCAATGGTTATCCATCTGGATGGTGAGTACCTCTTATTATATTTTTTATAAAGTTTACATGAAATTATGAGGATGAGGACTATAATCTCACCCTACCGGATACACTTTCACAGTGTTGTCTTACACTCAATAAATACATAGGTTCATCATCATACATTTTCATTTGCAGGTTTCTGGTTAAAGGGTGACTATGATTTAACTAGAATGTGGCTGTGTTTGTTGGGATATGAAACCAAGAGAAGACAGCTTGAAGGCTGATGAGACAAGCCTGATGTGGTGCTTACATCCTGTGCCTTGACCAGCAGGGCGGTGAGCTGATGTTTGTCCCAGTCACTGACAGATCCCAGAGTCTGCAGACAGTTGGGGAATTCCACCGTGTGGTCCATGGCGGAGAGAGTCGCCACCTCCAGGAGGGCGGCCTTCACCCCTAGGATCTTCATCTGGGCGCACATAGGAGCATCTGCAGGACATACAACGTAACGTTCATATAAAGGTAAACTATATCACAAACCCATCTGATCCAATTTCATCACTTAAAGAAATTCAATATTTGGGCACGTGCTCTTAAACATAGATGTTATCTACACTGTTTGATTGTTTGTTGTTTAACGCTGAACTCGGCAATATTTATGCTCTTTGACGGGGGTCTTGATAATCGAGCCTGGATGAGATAATCCACTAATTAACATAATGAGCATCGATCTATGCAGTTGAGATACAATGACACGATTGACCACCCGATGCCATTAGTCGCCTTTTACGACCTGGTTAGTCGTCTCTTAAAGCATTGGTTGCTGATCCTGAATTCTAACTTAGGCATGACAGTGCGTAATACAACTGTATTATCCCATTCATTATAACACAACACAGAGTAATGCAATGTACGAGGAATTTCGATTGATATGGACGTTATTTTCAAATCACGATGTTCATTATGAATATGTGCTTTCCGCTGACTCACCAACGGCTCTTCTCCTCCTGGTCGTTACGTCGGAACTCAGACTCTCCTGAATGAGTTGCACTACTCTTTTCTCTCCATCTGTTGACGCCATAGCCTCTTCCCTCATAAAGCCCTGCCTCCTTCTCTCCATCCTGGCCTGGTCGACGCGGTTCATGCCCTTGATTACAGCAGAGGCTGCAGCTGCCATTTCAGACTGGAACAGAACCAGATGGATGATGGTCATTCGGACGTTTATACGAACCGCTGGATTTAATACTGCTAAATATTTGTGTTCCGGATAATGACGTCTACCAACGCTGTTTTCGTCTCATATCAATCTGAAGGTGAGAAACTGAAATACTGCTCGGTGTGTCGGGCTATACCAAACCCTTTAGAAAAAATACCTGCAGTGACGTTGATCGTTTACTCCTCAACACAGAAGTGGTGCTGACAAACATAGAAACCTATTCAGGGAGAATTTGGGATTCGAACCCAGGGTCATAGGTTTCTGACACACCAAAACGCTGCTACCCTAGATTCACAAGTGTGACCATCAGTGCTGTTGACTACTGGGGTAGCCTTGCTTACCTCTACCTCAAAGGATTACCCTTGTTTTGTATATCAGCAGCATGGTTTGACTCATGAGCTGAAAGCTCTAATCCAAATTGATTGTCTCACCTTACAGATTGTCTTCAACTTGTCTTCACTCAGATGCTTTAGGAAAGGTCCCACCTGGGCCAGACGCTCTCGTTTGCAATGCCAGGACCTGAGATTAGACATTGTTTCATTGTTATATGGTGCTTCCAATCCCATCTTACCAGTTTTCCCAAACCAACTATGAGGTTAAGTTTTGGTTTGGTTTGCTGTTTAACGCCACACGATATTCCAGTTATTTTGCGGTCTGTAAACAATCGAGTCTGGACCAGACAATCCTGTGATCAATATTATGGACATCGCTCTACGCGTTTGGGATACGATGACATGTGTCAACCGAGTCAGCAAGTCTGACCTGATCCCATTAGCGCATGTTACGACAAGCATGATTTGCTGGCAATTCTAACCCGGATCTTCACGGGTAGCAAAGAAAATCAATTTTATTTCGACATGTTCGTCAAAAGTAATGTAAGGCCACATGGTTCCTAGTATGGTGATCTACCTTCAGTTGTTGGCGATCAATAGCCCATTTTATATATTGTATTGTCCAAATATAATTTCTACTTTTAAAGATACATGCTAACTAGTTTTACCTAAATTGTGATAACCTAGTAATTTTACTGTCCTTCGTTGGCAGTGTTTCATATATTATAAGTATGCATTATGAATTTAGAATTAGTTTTAGTCACGATATGGCGGAAATATTGCCGATGTGACTTTAAATTTTAACTCACTCACTCCCTCGACATGTTCGTACTACGACTACTTACGAGTCATGTTCCTCGACCTTGCTCATGACGGCCTCTGCCTGGACCTTGGTCAACGCTGCCCCAGAGAAGCTGCGGATGTTCCTCATCAGGGCAGAGCCTGGCAGCCTCATGATCACCTTGTCTGGCATGCCCTGAAGAAGACCTCCCAGCTTGGCAACCTTCCTGTCGTCCCATTCCGTCCCCATATCAGTCATCTGCATGAGGGAAAGATATTGTAATGTTGGAGCCAGTTGTGTTTGTTTCATCCTGGTTGACATTGAACTTTTAATTTCTATGTTTCAAACGGAAGAAAACCTTGAACACCAATGACCTATTAGCATGCAAATGCATTCAAATAATAAGTATCGTTTAACAGAAGACATATGTATATAGTAGTTCTTTGTAGGTTTTGGTCTACTGAACAAAGTGACGGGGACTTATTATTTGGTATAAAATTCAACAAATATAGGTTGCAAAATGTATTTCTCCACATTACATTTTTCCGACTTCAATCTGTTTGGAGATATATTTTGGTATGAAACTAGTACATATTTACTTTTCAAAGTATTTGTCAGCATGCATATTTAACAAATGATCCCTGACGAACATTATTTGAAGACCAAACAGGGAATTCAGCATTTCCAGCGAACAATTCTATTTGAGGAACATTTTTCTGTTTTTCTAGAACAAATTAATTATAAGATAATATCAGACCCACAAGGGCACCATATACACAAAAGCTTAATCCGGCGGACTAAGAGCGGCCACATACTCGGTATTCCTGTGTGTTTAGCATGGATTCTCCCTGTCCCATGAGGTACATGAGTTTCTCCCGGCTGATCTTGGACTTAGCGCCTCTGTTCATGGATGTGAGGAAGGCTTCCCTGGCAGGCTGCGACATCTTGATCTTGTTGAACTGGGCTTCTGGCCTTAACAGACAGAACAACACTATTAGTATATGTTAGTGACATAGTCCAGCAATGGTTCTTTGAGCTGAGGATAGGGACATTGCAGCATCGAACATGAGCTTCTCACATTATACCATTCCTGATCAGCTCGTAGTGTTCTGGAATACGTTTCTTTGATTTGGTTCGGTTGCTGTTTAACGCCACACTCATCAATATTAGGATATGGTAACATGTGTCAACCAAGTCAGCGAGCCTGACCACCCGATCCCGTTAGTCGCATCTTACAAGCATGGGTTGATGAAGACCAATTCTAACCCGGATCTTCACGGGTACTTTTTTTTGAGGCTACAGAAAGGGGCGAGTGGTGACGAATGACATTGTACCCATTTTAGGGGACAAATCTAGAATCTGGAATCGGAATCGAAGACTTTCCTGCATGCCCAAAGGACGCAACGATGCGGAGCGAATTCTGGCGTAGAACATGAGTCACACAGGACTATAGTTTAATGTAGAATTGGTACCATTCTCTGGCCTCGCGTTCAGATGTATGTTTGTAGTCTTCGTATCTATTGTTCTAGCTACGAGGCAGACATGTAAACATGACGGGTTTCACTCACAGATACTGGAGGAATGGTGCCACTTGCAATACATCAGTTTCGTCCATCTCAACAATGTTGCGGTTGTCGAAGTGGAAGACGTTTCTAATCTTTACGGCCATGGCTTCAGACTGAGGAGAAACAAGGAGTTGGTTAAACCATAGGAATTTCAACTTTCAGATAAATGTCTTCGTTATAGATAGAGGGGAAGTAATCCTTCTATGACATATCAGCTTTAGACAATCATCTTGGTAAAATATAGAGGGGAAATGTCCTTCTAAGGTATTTCAGCTTTAGACAAACATGTTTGTGAAACATAGAAGGGAATTAATCGTTCAAGGGAATTTCAGCTTTAGACAAACATGTTTGTGAAACATAGAAGGGAATTAATCGTTCCAGGGAATTTCAGCTTTAGACAAACATGTTTGTGAAACATACAAGGGAATTAATCGTTCAAGGGAATTTCAGCTTTAGACAAACATGTTTGTGAAACATACAAGGGAATTAATCGTTCAAGGGAATTTCAGCTTTAGACAAACATGTTTGTGAAACATACAAGGGAATTAATCGTTAAAGGGAATTTCAGCTTCAAGACAAATATCTCAGCTGATCACATATCGTGTTCTTTGATGTGTCAGCCAATACGTTTGTCGTTATAATTTAAGAAAGATTGTGCTGATAAAATGATGTGATGTTGCCCTAACACAGAGTGGGTGTTATAGGAGAAACATCTTGATTGGTTTCTATACATAAACCTACCTGTGACAATGTCAGATCGTCGTCGTAGTCGGCCAGTTGGGCGGCGAGGTTGACGACGTTCATCTTGTCATCACGCATGTTGCTGATGTCTTCTTCGGACATACCCGTGACGATGCTGCCAAGTTCGTGCAGGTCGTCAACGTGCAGGCTTGGGTTGACTGCGCGTATCTTGTGGAACAGAGCCGAGGCCTATGGAATAAAGACATCGGAGATTAAGGGAAACTGCTCCTACCTAGTTCAACAAAGCTATCGCAGGTCTGGTGTTGGAATTACGATCACCTTAGGTCTTAGCCCGAAGATGACCGTAATTCTTCTGTGACAAGGAATTACGACAGCGCTTAGATCCAGTCCTTGAAAAAGAACCTTGAACAACTTTTGAACTGTGAAACACTTCGAGATAACCAGTATTCGAATGACGTTATGTTGATGCAGTTGAGACAACAACTTAATTTGGGAACGGAATATATATAAATAGTTACCACGAATCATATATTTGCTATGTGAGCATGGTGTTATTCTTAGCCTATAGGCCAATAATACCCCGGAGTGGAACCTTCTATCCTTTATACCAGTAACCTAACGAAGATATTTACAATAATGTCCCACGCAATCGGTTGGTTGGTTTGCTGTTTAACGCCGTACCCAGCAATATTCCGGCTATATGGCGGCGGTCTGTAAATAATCGAGCCTGGATCAAACAATCCAGTGATCAACAGCATGACCATCGATCTACGCCATTTGGATAGGATGACATGTGTCAACCAAGTCAGCCGATCCCGTTAGTCGAATTTTACGACAAGAATGTATTGCTGAAGAAGACGTTGTATAACCCGGATCTTCACGGGTGTGTCCCACGTTGTATAACCCGGATCTTCACGGGTGTGTCCCACGTTCTATAACCCGGATCTTCACGGGTGTGTCCCACGTAAAATATATCTAATTGTGATAATTCTCCTCAAAATATGAGTCGTTCAGAATGGCCAGTACGTTATGGCAGTTAAAGCAATACAGTATAACATAGCAGCTGACCAAGCCTCTTCTCCATTTGATGTTGCCAGCGTTCGCCAGGTGCAGTTTGATGTCGTGTGCGTCGGCTGTTTCAATGTCGTCCATGCTGAGGGCTTTAGCGAAATGAGGAAGAACGAGGAGTTTGGAGGGGAGCTTGTTGTTGTTGCTGGTCATCGCCTGAAGTTGGAAAATAAAATGTCAAGGTCACAAAATTCCAAATGGAAACTGAACATCGTGAATTTGTTAAAGAAAAAGCATTATGATGCAAAACAGATTCACGACTGGAGGAACTAAAATATATTGGAAGGTAACACACCACATGTTATTTAGGACATACAAAGTCCGGCTGTCTGTATTTTTTCTGGGGGTCTGAAGTTGGGGTTACAACCTAAGGCCTAATGATGTTCCTCCAATGCTTGGAAATCCTTTATTTTTCAAATAATTCCATCACAATTTTAAATATTCCAAAGGCTAATTGCAGCGATGCTCGTCTCTGGTTAATACGCTTATAACTCTACAACTAAACAATGCTGATTTTATGCCTACCTTGTAGATATACATCTTCCGTTTCCAGTCGTCCATGTCCATGTCGTCAAGGTCTTCTAGGGTGTCGGCAACAACGCTGTCTGGGAGGTCATCAATGTCATCGGCTCTCATGCCCTTGGCCAGCTTGCCAATTTGTCTGAACTGGGCTGTTGAGAAATCTTTGAACTGTAACAAAGAAAGTTTGAAATGATAATTTTTTGCGTCATTAAGACATGATAATGAAAAAAACAAATTAAATGAATTCAATTATTTAATATCTATTTATGTGAAAATACACAAAAATACCAACCTCCGGAATACTCAATTTTCCAAGCAGCTCTCCAGCCTGTAAAAACAGAAATAGAAAATCTGTTGTATTCTGTGAAGTCATTAGAGTCATAGTGAGTGAGGGAGTTTAGTTTTACCCCGCTTTTAGCAATATCCCAGCAATATAACGACGGGGGACACCAGAAATGGGCTTCACATATTGTACCTGTGTGGGGAATCGAACCCGGGTCTTCGGCGTGACGAGCGAACGCTTCAACCACTAAGCTATCCCTCCACCTGAGGTAGTCACAAGAGCCATATCAGTTAAGTAAGAAAAATAATATAACATGTGAGCAATTATGTTCACTTCAGATTCAAGCCATTTTAACTTATCGAAGGATGCCACATGTGGCACTGTTAAGGTATAATAATCGCTGCTTTGAGGCGAGCCAACCACGTAAAATAGAAGGTATGAATCTCAGGCTCGCATTCGTTGTTTCTCCATTAGTCTGCACCCTAACCGCGCCAAAGTTGTAAACGTGAAGGATTACGTTAATTTCTGATTTTCTCCCAAAAATGTTATCATTTTGGATCTGTACCTCCGCGTCATCAAAGTCGATATCCTTTATGGCACTCAGCGCCCCCTGTATCACTGTTGAGGGGAGATCATCGAAGAAGTCGTTTCCACATCCACCCAAGATGGGCCCCAGCTTCAGCAGTTTCTCCTGGGTGATGTCACGGTCTTCATCCCAGTCCGGCAACTCGCGCAGCTTCCGGCAGATGGGGCGAGCCTGGAAAATACCGTGCGGCGATGTTTTCGTTGGTTTTTCGGCTTTTTTGTTTTGTTGTTTAACGCCGCACTCAACAATATTTTCAGCTATATGGCGGCGGCTGTAAATAATCGGGTCTGGGCCAGACAATCAAGTGATCAACATCGTGAGCATCGATCTACGCAATTGAGATACGTTGACATGTGTCAACCAAGTCAGCGAGCCTGACCATCCGGTCGCCGACCAATTCTAACACGGATCTGCAGCCTTAGATATAATACAAAATGACAGCCATTTACAAGGAGAACATAACAGTGTTCAGTATTGCTACACAATCGTTTAACAAAAGTTCCATAACTTGACATTGCTGTCATTGTACTTTCTTCTATGTAATACATGCAAAGCCACAAAACAGCTACAAATAACTAGCCAGGTGACACCATTTAAGGATATCAGATCATCAACATAGCCAGGTGACACCATTTAAGTATTGATATCAGATCATCGATATAGCTATGCAGCTCACCTACATATAACTCTGACGTATTGATAACATGCATTTCACTTCCGTAATCTGTCCAGGTAGCTGTGTGGCTGAGCAATGTTAGGCTATATTTCACTCACTAACTGATGTAGCTCACCTACATATAACTATGACGTATTGATAACATGCATTTCACTTCCGTAACCTGTCCAGGTAGCTATGTGGCTGAGCAATGTTAGGCTATATTTCACTCACTAACTGATGTAGCTCACCTACATCTTCATCGAATGATAGTAAGTTTGGTAATGTCCGGCAGGGCCAACAAGAGGGTGCTGGAGTCCAGACCACGGACCAGGTTCTGGTCACTCTTTATAAATGGAAGCATTCTGTAAAATATAATAATTTAAATCATGCAAATTTTCATGGAATAGGATTCACACCCGGTAACTGCAGTCTGATCTGGATGACACGAGGTTCATGGGGCTCTATTGTGTTGAGTCTGATCATTTGAACTATAATGCTGGCGTGCAACGTCTTCGGAGAAAGTACTTTCTCTGTTAGGGTAAAAAAAAATTGTTTGAACTTTTACTATGAATGATCATTGTCTGTCTCGTTTAGGAAGCTCCAGATATCGCTTGAATCACTCATTATGTTTGAAAACAAATAAAATGCACTTGAACGAATAAACAAATGTCTTTTCCAGGTTGTATTACAAGTGCCTTGGCGTACCTCCTGATCTCCATCCGTGTGTATTCTGATGGCTGTTTCTGGATGCCTTTCATCATCAGGCGTCCAATAGTCAGACTCCGTGGGTCATCGTCATCAAGGTCAAGGTCAACACCGGCCAAGTCAGCATCAGCGAGCTGAAGTGTTAAATGTGGCAGAAAAACATCACTGGGAGGCTCGGGACGAAATGTTCACAATCACAATCACTTGAACAAAAATATTCGAAGCATCAAAATTATTGCCATATTATTTTTTTTCAAAAGGAAGAAAAGACGAGGAAGAATGTTTTTAACTGGGTTTTGACAAAATAAATACATTCTTCATCGTACATAAATGGGCGTATAAAGAATTATTCGTAAAAATGTCCATCCTTTCGGAGAGACAAATATGACACGAAGTTGACATTCTGCCTCCTGCAAAAACATCTAAATGCCGGATAAACATTCTTCTTAAAGATGTTTACATAGCAAGAAAAACAACACCGAAGTAAGTGAAAACGACAAAAAGAAGTTAATACTAATACACATAAGGGAATTACATTTTCTGGTTTGATGTCATCGATGTCCTCCGGGTCAAAGGCGGCCAGGCCGGCACCTACTCGGACGATGTCCGCTGAACTCATGCGACTTGGCATCCGCCATTTTGCAATCCTCTGCCTCAGCGCCCCCTGCATGGCGGGGCTTCCTTTATTGCGCATGACCAAGCGGCCAAGGTCTTGAAGACTGGAAATCAGCATACATTTGTTACATTGTTGTTTCATAATATCTTTTATCATTAATTAAATTGGATTTTACCAGGGTTTCAATGAAGCAGTAAAGTATATGAAAAACATGTGTTTTTTTTCCCTAAATTAAGAGAAGAGTCCGATTAATTTTAGGTATTGCCAGTGTATTTGATAGGTTATCAAGGGTAAGGGTAGAGTAGGGTCATTACGTGGAACCGGATGTGTCCTTCTTTCTATACCCGTGACTGAATTTGTTCTATTGTTTGGTAACTCAATGTTATAATAAACGTAATACCCATAGGGAATAAACCGACATAACCATGAATGAAAAGCAGGTGAAGGGACATCCGATTTGTCTTTACGAAAACAGCTTGGACACAAGTCAGAGTTGGCGAGTTTCGAGCTTTGTTGCGTACCTTGACTCAAAGACGTCATCTGATAGACCCTCAATGACGTCATCGTCGAAAGTATCCGGTGCCAGTTTGAAAGCACGGTCAATGTCACTTTTCGACCACTGGGCAAATGGACGCTTCTTCATGTGCTGCATCAGTAGCATCTGATGTGGAAGATCAAGGTCGTCCTGAGGAAAGAAAATACAAACATATATTCTGGACTTTTCAACATAATACATTAGTACTCTCGAATTACACTAAAGAGGACAGCATACAGCCCATTAACGTGGTGGTAGGGCGATATACTGAAGAGCAAAATAAACTATACATTTCAGCAGAAAATATCTTTATTATGCATTGCATATATAATTATATATACAAAACATAAACTGTACTTAGTCAGTACTCAGAGACGTTTTATATATAAAAATATGTAATTCACTTAAACTGTATTAAAATTAATTCGCATAAAACACAACTGATGATCGATATCATGGACATATCGCAATATGTAAACTACACTATACGCCAAACGAAACGTTACCCTCCTACCTTTATGAATTACTCAAAAACTATCAAATATATGTTAGAAGGTATTAGTTTACAAGAAAGCTTAACAACACATCTTTATGCAAATCACGAAAAGACATTTTCAAATGCAGGTGAAATGCATTTTTTTCAGAAGAGTTAAATTGTCCTATTTTCGTCCATGCCGAAATAAACCAATAACAGTGATTTAGATGTCCAAAAGAAAGGTTGAAATAAAATTCTACTTTGAGACAAAGATAAACCATTTAAAGTCACCATTTTTTCAACTATTAAAACAAGAAACAACTGTTGTAGAGTGGATAAAATTGTAAAATAATCATTCCTATGATTTCAGTCTGTTAAGTAAAACGTGTCTTCGATATTGTGAAAAATGGTTTAGGAACATGTAAAATTATCTTTGTTAACATTTGTGCTTGCAAAGTAACATTTTTCATTTTCTGTTTACACATAGCAATATCAATCGCCAAAACTGAGCAATATTCAAGCAGTTTTTTGCATCCATTTTACATGTAGAATGATCCTATAGGGTATGAAGAGAACATAGAATACATGATATGATACACAAGTACGAGAAATATGCCACGATTAACATCTGAAGAGTGATAAAGAGCCATTGGGATGGTGCAGATGGGGTCGACGTATCACGGTTAAAAGACTTATTCAGGGCTTAAGTCAGACTGGGGTCACCGTAGACAGACCAAGAAGTGGACGTCCACGCATCAGAACGCCAGCTGAAGATAGGTACCCCCGTCAATAAGCAAGGAGGGTAACGTTTCTTTGGGCGTTTAGTGTATGTTTGGAGTTGTCATTGCCAGGTATTGACGTTTCTTAGCCCAGTCGTCTTTAAACCAAAATCTCCAAGCCACGAATTACACTTTACAAAGTGTTGTTGGGAATGAGTGATTTCAAATTTCAACTGCATGAAAAAAAACTCGCTATACTTTGTTTAGCCTTTCAGATAACATGTCGTTTGTTTGTTCAGCCATATTCCAGTTAAATGGCGTTTGTCTCTAAACCATCCAGTGATCAATATCATGAGCATCGATCAACGAAATTGGGATACGATGACATGTGTCAACCAAGTCAGCGAGCCTTTTTCACATCTTACGACATGCATGGGTTGCTGAAGATCAATTCCAACCCGGATCTTCATGGGTCTTTTTAAATGTAAATTGAACACAAATATTCAATTGAGCGTAAGAATGTAAAATAATGGATATTGAATGAATGATAACTGAAAGTCAGTATTGAAACCCGGCGTTTGAGAAAGGGAGACCATGTCATGCACTACCTACCGATAACACATACGCCACAAATACCATTAGTGTTAGTTGCTTGACCCCACACGGCAGTACTCCGGCCATGCGACGGTGACATATAAGTAAAATTAAAGATAAAGGTTCAAAGAAACTTACATCATCACCGTCAATGTCGTCATGCTCGTCATCGTCATTGACGTCATCCAGGGCCCCAACACAGTCCATTCCAACACTCATGAGTTTCTGGAAGCTTCGGAGGGACTTCTTGGAGAACATGCGGCACATCTGGTGTTTGGTGCGGTTATCCAGCATAGGGGCGAAACATTCCAGAGTAAAGTCCTGCAGAGAGGATAATATGGTTCTTGATCACTTACTTCTTGGCATGGCACTTGAGCTATGAATTCATTAATTCTGTGAGTTAACAACTTAAGATGCAAGAATGCATTTATGAATTCCAGGGGATGGTACCTCTGTCCTGGATAGGATTTACACAGGGTAAGGTCACTTCCGGTTAATCAAATGTATTGTACGTCTAAATAATTTGGACCTTGTTAATACGACATGTTCATGAATAACAGCGTCGATAACGTTCGGATTAAATAGATTTGGTTTTATATACCGTTAAAGTAGCTGCATACAAGGGATGAAGTTAAGACTGACTTTATGAAATGAAACGTAATATTGGGTTAAATCGAGAAAGGGTCTTTGCTACATGTGAATTCTTCTGAAGAATTTGGTTTAAGTCTGTATCAATGAGTGAGTGGGTCGGGTTTACACCACCTCAATATACTAATAACATCCAAGCCAATATGGGGACTGATACATTGTACCCATTAGAGAGTCCACAATGGTTTTCAGTCTAACGATCTAACGTTTGGACCAC